CCTACCACCTACAGCGCCCAGCGCTRAAGACTACTGCTATGGCTATGGCGCCCAGCGCCGAAGACTACAGCTAGCGCTGCTACTACTACCTAGCGCTGAAGACTACTGGCCGAAATCTGAAGACTATCGTCCTACTCTCCAACTGCCTACCCGTTCAATGCCTGAAGCTCCTATGTACTATCACGGGTGCCTCCTGACTCGGGCGAGCAGTCCAGGAGGCTACTCTTGCCAATAATGCCGAACGGAGGCAGGGGCTGCAGTTGCAGCTCCTGGTCGTGCTCTTGCCAATAATGCCTAAGGGAGGCAGGGGCTGCAGCTGCAGCTCCTGCTCGTGCTCTTGCCAATAATGCCGCAGGGAGGCAGGGACTGCAGCTGCAGCTCCTGCTCGAGCTGGCGTGGGAASAGGCCARAAATAGCCTGTTCCGAAACCCARTTTTCGTGCCTGAATCTTAGGGCAGGTCGAAACAAATGAGGGCCTAAAAATAGCCCAGGGCCTAAGAATAGCCCTCCGTTTCAGGCTGGAAAAACTCTGGGTCTGAAAGACCCAGAAATAGGCTGAAACGGAGTAGGGCCTGCAGGCCCTCGTTTTTCAGTTTTCAGGCTGAAACAACCGGGGCCTGTAGCTCCTAAGTTTTAGGCTTTTAGGCTGAATGTCCGCGACGGGTCCTACAGGGCCCGTGTGGCTACACAGTCTGCCACACCCCCCCCTCCTTGAAAGACCGAGCTTACCTGCGAGGGTGAAGCTGTTTGTCTGAGGGAGGGACCACAGTCCGGGTGGGAGGGGCAGGTCGTGGAGGTCCCTTGGCTAACCTTTGACGTTTATAGTGAGCGTAGATCAGCGGTGCAGATGCTTTCAAATCTGCTCCTGAAATCCACCCAGTGTCGTCGCGATCGCATGCTTTGAATGTGACTTTGTACTGTCGCGGCTTGCTGCCGTACTTGCGATCAGTGATGACGCGGTCAAGTTCCTGATGGCCATCCATAGGAGGGTCCTGCGATCATCGGCCCGGAAAGCCGTCGCTCTTGGCTGGCGTGTATGTTGCCAGCTTCGAGGCGTGGAAGACCGGATGGACCGTCAGATGCTCTCGAATATTGATCACAAATGAAGGGCCATCGGGCTCATCGCCCGCGGCTGCTGTCACAGACCAAGGTCCAAACCACTTGGGAAGCAGTTTGCGTGAAACGTCCTGTTCCAGTGCAAACTCTGCCGCGGAGACCCAAACCAGATCACCGGCGCGGATGGGACATGGTACGCGACGCCTGTTGGCTTGCTGCTGCATGCGAACTTGAGCCTTTTGCATATTTGCGCGGGCTTGAATCAGCAAGTCCCTGTGTCTTCCGATCGGAAGCGGGGGAGCAAGCGGCGTCAATGTCGGCTGGTCGAGGGAGGAGAAGGTCGGCGAAGATCCGGCCTTTCCGTCCACCGTGGTGCAACTCGAATGGAGTCACGCCGATCGCCGGATGCACCGAAGTGTTGTAGGCGAACTCGATGTCGGGGAGGCGGTCAACCCAATCTTTCTGGTCCGGACGAATGAGCGTACGAAGCATCATTTGAGCGGTTTGATGTGCCCGCTCCGTCTGCCCGTCTATCCGAGGATGTCGAGCCGAACTTGGTTTCATTGTTGTGTCAGACTCCTGCATGAGAGCAGTCCAAACGCCGACATGAAATGAGTGTCGCGGTCGCTGACAATGTCTTCTGGTACACCGTGGCCACAAATCCAACTAGTGTAAAGGAGGCGTGCCAGCTCGGGAGCCGTGGAGTAGTACTTGCAAGGGAGAAAACGCGCGTACTTACTCAATCGGTCCACAACCGTGAGGATGCCGTCGTGCCCGAGCCGGTCGCGAGGAAACGGACCGGTGACGTCCATGGCAATGGAGAGACCGAGTTCCCGTGGGATAGGCATTGGGTGTAACTCGTCGTAGGGATTGCGGTTGCGGGGCTTGCTGCGTCGACTAACTTCGCAAGAGTCGCAATACCGAGTGACATCGGTAATGAGGTCGGGCCATCGGAATTGCTGTCGAAGCCGTGCAATAGTGCAGTTGACTCCGAAATGGCCGGCGAGTCGTGAATCATGATACTCGCCAAGGAGGCGAGTCCGAAGACGCCGTCACGTGGGACACATAGTAAGTCCTTGCCTCTCGAGTGGAGGAGCAAGTACCCGTCGGCAATGCGGTAATGGCTGGCCGGCGGGTGATCCGAAGATAGCTGTGCATAGAGCGTGCCCAAGTCCGGATCAGACTGATATGCCCAGATGAAGTGTCGCTGAAGCTCCTCGTCGAATGCGAAGGCATGATGTGTCATAGCGCAAAGATCGGGTCTTCGCGAGAGTGCATCTGCTGCGCGATTTGAGAGGCCGGGCAGATGTTTCGGTGTGAAGTCAAATTGGTCGATGAAGTACATTCATCGTTCGATCGTGCTGCTCACCGTATCCTGCGTCTTGTAGTAAGTCAATGGATTGTTGTCTGTGACCCATGTGAACCTACGACGCCCAAGGAGGAAGTGCCACCATCTCTTGAGAGCCATGACGAATGTGAGCAGCTCCTTCTTCCTTGCATCATCAAGCGAGTTGATGGGAGGCACTTTGTGGCTGAAATACTCCACAAGGTGCCAGTTATCGCCGTCGTGCTGTTCCAAGACTGCCCCAATGCCATAGCCGGAAGCGTCCGTAGTCACTCGCGTCGGCAGGGTGGGGTCATAGATGCTAAGGACGGGTGCCATGAGCATAGTCGTCTTAAGTGCTTGGAATGACCAGTGTGCGGCGTCATCGAATACGAATGGCACCTTTGGCGACTGTAACCTCGTCATCGGTGCAGCAATCCTGGAGTATCCGGTGATGAATCGCTGATAGTAGCCCGCCAACCCCATGAATGAACGAACGTCCGTGGTGTTGGTGGGCTCGGGCCAAACTCGTAGGGCCTCAATCTTGTCCGCAAGCGGACGGATGCCTTGCGGCGTCACATAGTGTCCCAAGTATGTTGTACGAACTCGCACTTGTCGCGGTTTGCTTTGTACTTGGCTTGTCGTAGCCGCTCCAAAACCGTGCGCAGGTGTTCCACATGCTCGTCCAACACCAAGATGTCGTCGAGGTAGATGAGTACAAACCGATCCAGCATGTGTCGGAACTCCGTTGTCATAGCCGCTTGGAAAGTGGTTGGGGCATTCATAAGGCCAAACGGCATGACCAGCCATTCGAAATGCCCATACCGTATCTTAAACGCGGTCTTGTAGCGATCCTCCTTGCGAATCTCGAGTTGGTGGTACCCTGACTTGAGATCCAGCTTTGAGAAGAATTGGGCGCCGCCCAATCGCGCGAGAAGGTCGTCGATGCGTGGAGAGAGGGCCGGCGTTCCTGATCGTCTGCGCGTTGAGCTTGCGATARTCGATGCAVAAYCVCMGGTCCTTGTTCTTCTTCCGGACGAAGAGAACAGGAGCACCGTATGGCGATGAGCTAGGCCGAATCCAGCCTTTCTCTAGAAGGTCGTCGAGTTGTGCCCGAAGCACACTTAACTCTTCCTCGCTCATTCGGTAGATGCAACCGCGCGGAGGTA